CATTGGAAGAATTTTTTTATACAGCCGTCCGAACAAAAATATAAAAATACAGAAAGATGTAAAATTTCACGGGCTTCCCGAATATGTCGTTACTTTTTAAAAAATATGTTCTTTTGGTAACAATATCCTCAAAATACAGAGGGAAACTTATTTTTGCCAGGGGTATATATATGTATATAATTCTATTTTTTTAATTTGAATAAGGAATTCACAAGAGTAATGTAAGCAACGCGTTTCGAATTTTATCTTCATCAGGCTAGACCCAGATTAATGGGAGTGAGAAAATATGAAAATATGAACATGTGAAAAAAGAACAAAACGTATGTACAGTAGTTGTCAATAGTGAGTACAAACATTTGATAATAGTGAGTACAAAAACATTTGATAACAGTGGTTACGTCAATGATTGTTATAGTTATTAGATATCAAGAATTTGTAGATACTACAAATTCAAAATTGAGTACACAACATTTGATAATAGTGGGTCAATGAGTCAATGATTGTTATAGTTGTTATTAGATATCAAGAATTTTTCTTTAATTTTTGAACCGAACAGTAGAATTAATTATGTAATATGATAATAATTTAATTTAACAGAAGAAACTAATGAATAATTGTTTAGTTTTTGAATCGAGCAGTAGAATGAACTATGTAATATGATAATAATTCAATAGAAGGAAGTAATGAAGTAATGGACAAGGAATAATTGTTTAGTTTTTGAATCGAGCAGTAGAATGAACTATGTAATATGATAATAATTCAATAGAAGGAAGTAATGAAGTAATGGACAAGGAATAATTATTTGAAAAAAAGTAAATTGTTATTAGATATCAAGAATTTTTAGATACTGCGAATTCAAAATTGAGTACGAAACATTTTATAATAGTAGGTACGGTGAATTCAAAATTGAAATTTAAGAATTTTAAGAATTAAGAATTGAGATGATAAAATGGTTGAGCATTTTGAATTGGCAAGAAAGCATTAAGACGATAAATATCAAGGAGTTGTAGATGTTGTGAATTCAAGAATATTAAGAATTGAGATGATAAAAAATTGAGAGTAAGTATTAAGATAATAAGGGTTGAAGAAAATACAAAGAAATTTTTGTAGAAATAGGAGTACATATAGAAATAGGAGTATATATAGAAATAGGAGTACATATATTGGAAGGAGGAAAAAGAAAAAGAAAAAGAAAAAGAAAAAAGAAAAAAAAGAAGAAAGTTGAGTAGATGTTCACATGTGATCAACAGTAAAAGACTTTTTTATTTTTTAACAACAATTGTTTAGAAAAATATACATATATATGTGTAAAAGAAATATGTTTTTATAGAACATAGTGAACAATATTTTCATGTATGTATAGAAGAGACATAGATATAATGAAGAAAATATATATAGAAAAGACAGATGTCATGAAGAAAGTGTATATAGAAAAAACGTGGATGTAATGAAAAAAGTATATATATTTAAAAGATAGGTAGAGAACAATATTTTTTATGACGAGACGAAAGACATTTATGTATGTATAGGAGAGATATACATAATTTATATATATATATATATTTATAAAAGAACAATATTTCTCAACAATTGCTTATATATGCATAGTGGATATATATATATTTTTTCTTATAGAACAATATTTTTATATACGTGTAGAAGAGGTATACGTAATGAAAAAAATATATGGGGTGTATGTAATGAAAAAAATATATGTATGTAGAAGATACAATTTTTTTTGTCAAGAAAAGATAAAATATCTATCTATATGTAGAAGAGATACATATTTTTTTATAATAAAAAGAACAATATTTTATATTTTTATGGTGGAAGGAATAAACGTAATGAAAAATTATGTGTCTGTAGAGGATAGATTGAGAAATGTAGATTAACAATCAAGATGATAGTCAAGATGACAGATAGAAAGAGATTTTTTGATCTACGTATTTTTTCGAATAGTTATTATTGTTGATAGATACTTTACAGAGTATCAATGATCAATAATGGATAATAAGAGAGTCGATAGTAAATTTTTGAAATATATTTCGTTGATTCATCTGATTAAAGAAGATCTCTCGTTTATAACATTTATATTCATCTATTTTTTCTTATTTCTATCTTTGTTATTATCATTCTTTTATCATCTATTCTTTTGATCTTACTGTGGTAAAAGGTTAATAACATTCTTTGGTGGTTTTTTATGTACTAGGATTCTGCTAAGATTATCTGTTAGACGATGTGCATATATTATCGGAATATCATCTAGAGGTGTTCCTTCGAAAATTTCATTCCATATTTGATGGAATTTCGCACCGAATTGAGCTAATGAGGGTGTGTATGTGAAGTGAAGTAATATATCTCGATTGAAATCAATTTCTTTCTTTAGTTTTTTATTCCATTGCACATCTAAGACTTTGTCACGAAATGCTTTATGCTGATCGCTATATAGTAAATCCGGTGTATTCTTTCCTGTTAGAGTTAGGTAGAAACGATTCATATGTTTGTCAATAAAATTCGGTGGATACTTGTTTAGTAGGAAGATTACTCGAATTTTGTGGATTTCTTGTCTCAAATCTTCGACGTGCGAGCATATTCGTGTTGCTCTTAGCACGGCCGAAAAAACGATATTTTTGAAAATGTGTAGGGGATGGAAAGAATGAAATGGTAAAATGTATGGTTGAGCGGCTAACTTCCGATAGAGTTTCGTCCGAAAACTAGGTACTTCTACACTTATTCTGATATCGAGATAGTTAATAGATTCGCCTGTTTCAAAAGATATTTGTATGTTGGGATCCTTGTTTCCTAAGTCATGGAGTATATTATTCATTTCTTCTGTTGTTTTTTCTGTTGTTAAGAAAACATCATCTCGGAATCTACGATACAATTGTTTTTCTTTTTCTTTTTCTTGTTGTTCCACTAAAGATTTTTCCCACTTTTTTACATAGACATCTGCTAGAACTTGTGTACATGCCAATCCCATTGGACCTCCTCGTATTTGTTGAAAAAACTTTGGTGCTTGTCCCGGTAGTTGAAGTGTAAAAAAGGAATTATTTAGAACATGTTTTAGTAAGATGCGGATGGTGTTAATAGGAATCTCATTTTTCACTTTTCGAATGTTATGCGTACCTAACATTTCACAGATGGCCATGACAGCCTCATGTTGGGGTATCGAAGTGTACAGATCAGTTATATCCAAAGTGTACAGTTTTGTTTTCTCATTTGTTTGAAATTTTTTCAAATCATTCAAGAGATCTATCGAGTCAGTTAAAATATATGGTGTTACTTTGTCAAAAATGGGTCTCAATATCTGATCTAAAAAGGATGAAATCTTTGCAATGGGAGATTTGATTCCTGCTACTATTGGACGTAACGGTTCACCGACTTTATGATCTTTAGGATTGTAGTAGAGGTGTGGGAGTTCGGATTCTGTTCGAGATGGTCTTAATTTTTCGAGATATTTTGCTGGTAATAGCTTTCTTCGTACTAGATCAATTAAAAGTTCTTCGGTACTTTCAATCATGTGCTCAAGAGGTGATTGATCAATCTCCTTATAGGCATTCATTTTTGACATGTATTGTGCTGATTTTTCTATATATGTTTCAGGTTTTCCTAGATGGAACACCTTGGATTTATCTGTTTGTCGAAAGACAACTTTATGTTCTTTTTGAGCTTTCTTCAAATTTCCTAAGATCTTGAGCATTTTCGGATCTACTATCTTTTCTTTTGATACTGTTGTTCGAATTTCTTCTTCAATACGTTCGGTAAAGCGATTTACTATTTCTGGATTAGGACCTACTGTTTTTGTTTCTCGTCGCCATGCGACTGCTACTTTTTCTTTCATTATGTCGATTTCATTTTTTAATCTTTGTAAAGTTTGTTTTGGATTTTGTGGGACAAATTTAGGACCATAGTTCAAAATTCTACGTTCTGCATCGCTCAACTGCAATGCTTTATTGTTAACTTGAGGTGGAAAAGCAAGAGAGGTGTAATGGGGATGCATTTTTTTCTTTTTCTTTTTTGATTTTGTCAAGTGTTTCTCATTCTGGGTGTGGGTGTGGGTGTGAGTCTGGATGTGGGTGTCCGTGTGGGTGTTGGTGTGGGTGTGGGTGTGGGTCTGGATGTGGGTGTCCGTGTGGGTGTTGGTGTTGGTGTGGGTGTGGGTGTGGGTGTGGGTGTGGGTGTGGGTGTGGGTCTGGATGTGGGTGTCCGTGTGGGTGTGGGTGTGGGTGTGGGTGTGCGTGTGCGTGTGGGTCTGGGTGTGTGTGTGGGTGAGTGTGAGTGTGTGTGATGTGGGTGTGGGTGTGGGTGTGCGTGTGGGTGTGGGTCTGGGTGTGTGTTTGGGTGAGTGTGTGGATGTGGGTGTGGGTGTGTGTGGGTGAGTGTGTGGATGTGGGTGTGGGTGTGGGTGTGGGTTTTGGTGACGTTTCAATCATAGCCGCAGCCACACCCACACACCAGCATGTAGAAGAACAGGACCATTTGATTTAAAGAAAATAGAAAATAAATTTTTTGGTTCAAATTTAACTCGACGAACAATAGTAGTTGGTGATTCATCTTCGCCAACCCAGCTTGAGTTTGTTGACTTGCGATGAATCTGCCTATGGTAAATCCACGTCTCAGCATCTGTTATAATATCACATAATCGCCAAGAACCATCACGGAATTTCGCCAAATTTTCACGACGAAGTTTAACACGTTCTTGCTTTTGTTCATCAGTCAGTTGATGGGGTGCCCAAGGTGATGTGATTTGTTTTGATCTTAAGACAATCGTGGATTATTCGTTCTATTGTACCATGAGAGAAAAATGTCTCAGCTATAATATCATCATAAGTTGAATGTGGATCATTGGTAATAACCTCTCGTACTAGTTTAATATTTTGATCTGTCAGCTCGGATACTGGACGACCAGATCGAGGATCATCATTGACATCTTCTCTTCCTTCACGGAAACGCTTTGCCCACTCTGTAACTGTTGGATATGATGGAACCTTGGGTCCCAAAGCTGTTGCAAGTTGTTCGTAAATTGTCTTTGGATTTATCCCCAAAATAGTTCAAATTTTTATATAATATCGATTGTATTCATTATCCATTTTTGAAGATTTTTTTTTTTTTAGTTCGAATTAAAGTTTATCAAAAAAGTACTATAACTAAGTCCAAAAGAGATTTACTATATATACTATTATAGATAAGACATTCCACTATTTATCCATGCACAACACTCTTCGATATTAATTGGTTTATAAAATTGCCAACAGCAATCTGGGGAACTTTTGGTCAGACCTAAGTATATTAAGAATGCCATAGTGTAGACGAAAACAGGTGATAAAATGTATTTCAAAGGATTCAAAATACTATATATATATATACATGATAGAGTTAATATACTTTTATAATTGTTTACTATATTTATTATAAATAAGCTAGCTGTTTTTGAATACCTCGATGATTTACTTCAATCTTATTCTGAAATAAATAGCACCTAAACGATATAAACAAAGTGAAAATGTTGAAAAAGGAAAGAATATTTATTTCATCTTGATATTGTAAATAGACGAAAATATTTTGGATCATCGAGAAAATTCGTTCAATTTGTACAATAGCGTATCGCGAAGTAAACAAAAGGAAAAATATGTGATGAAATAGTTCTGTCGAATGTACCCTAAACTACATTTAAAAGCCATGTTTTGTACCGAGCTTGTGAGAAAAGATTTCACAATAATTATATGGTGAACCATATTTTCTATGTCAAATAGTTTTATTATTTTCTATTTTGACTGAGAAATCCTGAAGAGTTCTGTAGAACTGACAGAACCTTTTCTGTTTCAGTATCTTTGGATAGAACACTTTTTATGGTTCAGCAGTTTTTGACAGAACCTTATAAGGTTCAATATTAGTGGACAAAATCTTTCAGAGTTTAGTGTTATCATACAGAACTATAAATTGACTCTGGACATGCTGCAGAACCAAAAATAATTCTGCAAAATTCCTTTTTTTCTTTCAGAGTGGAACATTGGTGTTCACTGAACGATTGGCTACACTGACACTGACTAAACTAGCATTGATGTTCGCTGAACCAGTGGCTGCAATGACACTGTTGGCACTGATTACACTGCCTGCACCGAAATTGGTGTCCACTGCAATGTAAAAAATTGCAGTTAGAGGAAGAGTTTATTATTCTACCCTTTTTTCACAGTGCAATGCTGTCAGTACCAGTGCAGTCACTGGTCCAGTAAACACCAATCCTCTGTAGTCAGTGTAGTCAGTGCACTCAGTGTAGGAACATCACTGTCGCCATTTCAGTGTTTTGCACTGAAACTGCACATCCCTAACTGAAGGTGGAAAGATTTTGTTTAATGGTGCTGAATATCAGAAGTTTTTGTGATACTGAATCAACAACTATATCATCACAGCATCCAAAAAAGCGTAAACAGAGAACATTCGATCAGAAAACAAGAAGATTCACGTCATCGTCAATCCAAGAGACATTGCTTGTGGTAGTTCTTAAACATTTTAAACATTAATTGCTTACTTGGATCCTTCTCTTTATGTTTTTCTAATATTGCAAAAAAGAAGATATGTAACTAGTGTGGATTTTTTCTGTTTTTCATTTCTTTCCTTGTGCACAACGTCACATTACAATTTTGAAAGAAATACTTGTCTCGTCAAATCCTCTTGTTTCATATACTCATTTTTTTAAAGCTTGAGTTTAATGAGTGGTCGATTCACCTCTAGGTGCTGACATCAAATCTTAAACCCTCATTTTTAGTTATGATCATTTTGTGAAATACAAACCGGAAAAGTGAAGTAGCACGTCTTTTATATTTCGGTGCATCTTGATGATAAATCAGTCCTAAGCTATATTCTACAAAAGAAAACAATCATTTCATTTTCCCATATAGGTCCTACATTGTTGTTATATTTGTCGTGAGTAATATATTGGAAACGAAAAAAAAATTATTGTATGTTTTCTATAGATTCAGATTGATAGCATGCTAACGGTGAGTTATATATTACTTAAAAGAAAACAAGTGTTTTCTTTCTTATTTAGACTCCTAGGGATGCGATGTCTGTGGTAAGCTATATAAGCGAAATGAATTCTTTTTCTTCTTCTATTTAGATTTATATTGCTCCATGTTAATGATGAGATACATATTAGAAAATAAAACAAATATTTCCTTTTTATATTTTATATTCACATTGATGCTGCGCTAGCAGGGAGTTTTATATTTTGAAATTCAAAAATATCCTTTTTTTATTTTGGCTCATATTACGGTCATACCAATGGTAAGTGCCATATTTGAAACAAAAAATAAATAAATATTTTCTGTTTTATATTTATGTTCGTCTTTATGGTACCACAATGGTAACATAAAAAGGGTGGCCCAGAAGTCCTGACTCGATTTGTATAGTTAATTTTTTTACATTAAAACAAATCTTTGAAAATTTGTCTCTATGATAGAAAGATGCAGTAAAAGACGCTCTACAAAACAGCTTATGACTGATCCTCGCTAACTCATATACTAAGAAAATTATCATCTTAGAAATATGCATCACAAAAAATAACAAATAACGCTAATAGACAGTCGATTAGCTTAACCCTAGACTGACTTAGTGGTCTAAAAACAGATGTGCATCTGAGTCGGTCGGTCTCTATAACCTAGTAACCACATGTTAACTATGGTCCATATGATCAGAAATAGGGTCTGAAGGACCAGATGGCTGTTTCATAACGAGCAATAAAGTGCAAAGTTTTTCAAAAACACAGCAACAGTGATCACAAGAATGGTACATGTGACGACAAATACAGACAACATCATCATGCCTATAGTGTTTTGAACGTTGTGTGTGATCAGTCAGGTAACATCTTTGACTGCGAGGACTATTATTGTGACCATTTAGAGCACATTTTTGCGCTTTTGAGTCATATCTTTGATAAATCAACGGTCAACTATACTGCATTTGTAAACATTGAAAGTGTCTTTAAGGTATTTTTGATTATATCTTTTGCGAAGCAGGCCGTAGTGACCGTCATTTGTACCATGAAAATGATACCTTGTATCATGAAAAATGGTCATCTATACCACGACTATGGTCACTTATACCACGAAAATGGTCATTTCTACCAAGTGTTACAGACGGACAGACAGACACAGGTGAATTTCAGTTTCTAGACCCTATCCTTTCAGTCTATGGAAAAAGGAACTGTAGACATTCAGCTCACTCGCATAATCATTTTAAAGTCACCATATAATTAATTTTAGTTTTTTGTGATATTCCATCTTCGGTTATCTCATAGTATTACTGTATTTGGGATCATTACCTGGATCTTACTGCATTTTGTCCAGGTATTCGAAATATCTTTCCATCCCTGTGTATTCACATTGTGTATTCTATATCTTCTTGTGTTCGTACTAACTTTTTCAGGTCTTTTTTATACATCTCCCTTTGTTTTCATGACATCTATCTCTTTTTTTATTCATATGTTCGATCGCCACTGCAAACTCTAGATACACTCGTTTCAGTGTAAAGAAAGTATCCCGTAACCAACATGATTTTCTACGTCGTATAACAGGATGTCAGACGCATTCACTCTGGAAGAGCAATTCCGTGAAGTTGTTTTTTCTTTGAAGAAAATGAATCCGACGTGGATGGCAGCCAGCATTGCTTATGAAATACAATCTTATGAAAATCCACCTTCATTACATCGTGATGCATTAAGAAGAGAAATAAATCGGATATTACAATGAGGAACAATCAAAGATAGATCAAGATGTGGATCACCACGAACTATTCGAATGGAACAGTTGAAGAAAACAGTAAAATGGTTAATACATTTAAAAAAGGGACAAAGTCAAAGAAAAGTGGTATTTGAATTACAACAAAAAAAACATTGAAGGTAAAAAGAACATCGATGCAGCGAACAATTAAGGAACTAAACTTGAAACCATTCAAACTAAAGAAAGCACAAAAGGTAACCAAATCAAACAAATAACAACGTGT